ATTATTTAAGAGAGAAATAAAGAGTTTTTTCAGAGCAAATTTGGTTCCAAGGATCGTTGGGAAGAGTTAATGATTTGTGTCAATTTTTATCTTTGTTAATTTTTAATCAATTATTTAGATATTATATAAAAAATATCTTCTATTATAATATGAATAAATATTAGTGTTACACCTGGTTACATAAATTATTTGTTACAAGTTATATAAATTTCTAATATCACATGATAAATGTGTCATATAATTTCATAATTTGTAGTACCATAATAAACTTACTTTAATAATTTCTAATAGAACTTGCCACTTGTTTTATCTCTGTAGCATTTTTCTCATTTCTAACAGAACTTAACTTAACCTCGTTCAACTAAACTGATCCTACAGCTATCAACAGTCTTTCAACATTTTTTAGGCTCCAATTTCTAATAGAATCTATCTCATTCATGCTATTCTTTTCTAATATTCCCAAAATTTTTTTTAACTTAACTATTCCAATAACAATGTTTTTCAAATTCAATAGCCTAACAAATTTAAAATTAAACAGTTAAAAGTAACTTAAAGTATGACAGATCAGGTAATTAATTGTGAAATTAGTACCTCCTATGCAGTTAATGCTGAAGCCAGTATCTCTGATGTCTCACACGCAGTTAATGCTGAAGCTGATACTCTTTGTGATAATGTGGTTGACAATGAAGCTAGTACTTCTCATGAGAATACAATTAACAAGGAGCCTAGCAATACAGGTACTGTATTAGTAAAGCAAAAACATGAAAATATAGTTTGTTTTAGACCCAGTTTTAAAGTTTGCTTCAATTATATAGAAATGTCATTAAGCAAGACACTATATGACTTTTCTTTGCTAAGAGTTGGTTATATATTTTGGTCATGGGATAATGTTGACTCTTTTCTCAAAGCCTATAGTTAATATAATGGATTTGCTATTATTAAAAAGAGAGTTGAACAATGTGATAATAGTACTATTAAGCATTGATCTTTTGGCTATGAATTTGGGAGAAAGTACATATCCAAAAAAATATTGATATTAATGTTCACCATAATCAATGATCAAAGCGGCAAGGATGTGAATAGCATATCAATCTAAATTTTTCTAAACAATCTATTTTCATCATAGTCACAACATTTATTAATACTCACAATCATAAACTTGATTTTGAGAATTGTAAATATAGTGCTAAGTTCAGGTTTATTGATAAGGATGCACTAAATGATATCGAGTTTTATACAAAAAATGGAAATCTTTCAATTACCATGCAATGCCAATTGTTAAGAGCAAAGTATCTAGATACAACCTTTCTGAACATAAATCTTGCTAATGCTATTCAACATTACAAAGTAAAATCTCAAGATCTTGAAGCAGACACTTCACATCTTCTATTATTTCTTATTGAAAAATGTTCAGAGTCAGGTTGGAGTGTTGAATTCGAATTAGATAGTGACAATCATCTCACTAGACTTTTTTAGATAACCTCTAAACAATTATCTTTTTGGTTCAAGTATCATGATATTATTATTAATAATAATATAGCCAAGATGAATTAATATCAAATGCCACTTAGTTTGTTTCTTATTGTTGATAATAACACAAGATCTCATTTGGCTGCACAAGTTTTAATATCTGATGAAACAGCTGACTCTTACAAGTGGACACCCCAGTGTACAATAAAAGCTATGAGCATTGAACCTATGATCTTTGTTACAAACGTGAATCTAGCAATGAATAGTGTACTAAAACAAGTGTATAAAAATACCAACTCACTACATTGCATCTATCATATCAGTCAAAATCTACCAAAGAATCTAAAGCCTACATTGGGCAATACATATGATTTGTTTATCAAGGAATTTTATCAATATCATAATACTCTGAATGAGATGTTGTTTGAATCTAGGTGACAAAATTTACTAGAAAAATATCCAGCAGCTTTAAGTTACTTAACACGAGTCTTTTATTCTAGTCATCATTCATGGGCTTGTATCTTTACATCAAAATTTTTTACTGCTGATGTTCAAACAACATTGCGCATTGAAAGGTATATTGTGAATTAAAATAATTTTAAGTAATTTAGAACTTTGACAGTATTAGGGTTAAGGTTTAGAAAAGTGTATTAGATATTAGTTGAGATCATGATTTAATTTGTATCTTATTTGTTCTTTTTTATCTAAGAATATCAGCTAATATCTAATATGTTTTACTACTAAATTTTAAGGTTGTTTAGCAGTATTAGATATTAGCTAAGATTATGTTTTGGTTTTGTCTTATTTGTTTTTTTTTTTTACCTAAATATATCAGCTATATCTAATGTGTTTTACTACTAAATTTTAAGTTTGTTTAATAGTTAAGAAATTTCAAATTCACTTAAAT